GGTCATCCAAGGCGTAGAGGTCATCTCAGCTGCCCAGCTAAAACTAACAGGCACTTATATTGAAATGGACTGGAATTGGACACTTTCAATCAGCAGATCATACTATTTACTACCCAGGACACACACACACACACACACACACACACACACATAAACAACCCCAAGAAGGAATGGTATTGCTTTCATAGGAAGGATTTGAGTACAATGCCATCAGTGGCCAAATAATAACCATTAGACTTTGCAGGAAACACTTTGCAGGAGACCTCACAATTTGCTGGCCAAGAAGAGAAGAGGTGTCAAGGCCAAGAAAGACGAAGAGCTCAGGAAGGAAGTTAACAAAGAATTTCAGAGAACGATTAGTAGAAAGAAGGAGCAGTATTACAACAACATCTGTAAAGATGTGGAAGATGGAAAAACAAGGAAAGTCTTCCAAAAGATTTATGAACTCAGAAGGAGGTTCCAGCCTGGAATTGGGGTGCTAAAGGATGCCAATAGACGGATAGTAATTTATTCCAAGAAGATCAAGCAAAGATAGAAAGAGTATACTGAAATTCTGTACAGCATAGATGTCAACACCCAAGATACCTTAAAAAACATTCCCAATTTACAAGAACCTCTAGTACTAGAAGATGAGGTTAGATCAGTAGTCCGGTCATTACCACACCAGGCCACAGAAACTGATGGAATATGGCAAGAAGAACAGAAGAAGAATCAGTGAAGGTTCTAACCAAACAATGCCAGCAAACATGGAGGATGACACAGCAGCAAGCAGATGGGAAGAGGTTGGTCTACTTACTGTTACCTCTCCTTGTTCTATTTATGTGGTTGCTAAGAGTTGACACTGACTTGATGGAACTTAATCAAGATATTATAAGAAATACCTCAGGGCCTCAGGTGTATGGCAGAGCCCATCTCCTGTTTGTGTTAATGTCTGTCTTTATGACTTTCCTGGCTGCTGTTTTTATTTTTTGTATGTGTGCTTTTATTAATTTTAATGTTGTAATATTGTAATCCACCCAGTCATGCATATAAATCGATTAAATAAATAAACAAAACCTCAGTGTTTGAATTAGCAGCTAATAGTTAAAATAACTTTCTCTAGTGTGATGATGTCCTCCAATTGTGTTGGAGTTCAATATTTAGTATTCAGGGGTGGCAGAACTAAAATATATCATATTTTAGCCAACAGAGCTCTTTTTTTAAAACCGCAGCTCCTGTTGTCTGCTGTCTGACAGGAAAAGAAAATGGGGATCCATCTTATCTTCCTCCTGGCTGATGAATTGCAAAAGTAAATCACACATACAAAACACGTTTCATCATGTTTCCCTGACTAACAAGTTGATTTTCTTGTATGACCAGTGTCTTGGTCAGGACAAGGCTACTTCTGGGGGATGTGGAAAATGAGACAGCCAGAGTTTACGTGGACTTCTGAGTCTTAAATTTTATTATATTTACCCTCTTTTGGAGCATAATCTCTAAAGCAAATCATTTATGAGACTTTATCTTGGGTTGCTCAGAGGGAGGTCAGGGTAAAAGAAATAGAAAACCTTGTAAATGATCCGAAACCCCTGGAAATAAACCTAGTTAAGGTACTATATCGGTGTCCTGAAGGCTATACCAAAGTGCATGTGGGTCAGGACAAGATAAAGCATTACAAACAGTGAACCATAGCACTGAACGTGAGCTAGAGCCCCCACAGATGAGTTGACACTGACGGGATGCTCCAAGTGAAGGAAGAGAGAAAGCAATTGCTTCTTCACATTTCTTTTTCTTCTGTAGCCTCCTAAAAACCGTCCTGTGGGGAGGCAGGGTTAGCAGTTCTCCTGGACTAGCATGGAGTAGTAATAAAATATCTGCTTCTCCTTTGCTATCATCGTCAGAAGTCTGTTCTGTCCTTTTGGAAGTAAATTAATATATATCCAAATGTATTATTTGTTCAAATGAGTCGCTGCAAATTGCTGAGGGGTGGCTCAGAATTACAAAATGTAAAGTATCTTAAAATAATAATAATAATAGCCATATTTTAAAAAATGATCACTTGAGGGAGTTAATGACTAAATGGTAATTAAATGGTAATTAAATGTCAGGCATATATAATCTCTCTCATTCCGTACTACTTCCCTTCATAGTCCATTTCATGTCCTTTTGATAAGCTCCACCATCTGTCATCCTCTGGGTGTGCCGGATGTAGATGTGGTTGGATGTTCATGTTCTTTGCTTTTCTTTGACACTTTATCATGACTGTGTTTTAGAAATAACATAAATATAACCTAACAGATAATGCTGGGGATGCAAAAGAAGGACCTCCGATGGATCAGAGCAAAGAGCCAGTTTAGTCCAATGGTTTTTTCGTATAATGTTCCTCTGGAAGAATCTCTCCTCTGAAATGGATGCTGGTGCTCGAACTCCCAGGGCTGTCGCAGCTGTTCTGGCCACTCTCTTCTTACTTGTCCAACTCTGTGATGCCAACAGTAAGAACGATCTGAATTTTGTTTACCTCTTAGATTGGGAAAGATGCTGAAAATGCAGCATAAATACAGATAAGTAAGAATTGGGGCTCCCCTGAATTTATAACTTGTGAATTTAGAATTGGAGGCACCCAGAAGGTAATGTTGGGTGAGGGGGTGGGATAGAAGAGAGAACTGAGACATGTTCTCAGAATAAGAAGACTGGCTTGACTCACCATCTCCAATTTAGAACCCTCCAGATGTTGAGGACATCATCCAAGAGCTGTTCAGTAACGGAACAGATTTTCTCAAAAGGTGGTGGATTCTGGTTGGCTGGGGGTGTTTAAAGAGAAGCTGGATGGTCATCTGTCAGGGATGCTGTAGTTGTGTATTCCTGCAATGGGGAGGAGGCTGGGCTAGCTAATCTCCAAGATCGGTTCCAAAAAATTCCATTCTATTCCATTCTAAGATTCTGTTCTTCTGCAGGATGCTGGGAACTATTCTCAAGCACATCTAGAGGGCACCGGGTTGGAGAGGACACTGAGCCAGAAAGGATGGGAAAGATAACCGTCCAGTAGTAGAATACCCACAGGAGGCTTCAGGTCACTTAACATCTCCAGGAAGGGCTGGAAAAACTTCCTTGGACAGCCACTAGCTACTAGTCATTGTAGCTAATATGAAGCAAAAGGGTCCAGTTGGCTACTAGTCACTGTAGGCAATGCCAGGCGAGGGCTGTTTCCTAGACCAATTGTGATTCTGTCAATGGGCCATAGCTTGCCTGTCTTTTTGCTGGTCAATACCTTCTTAGGTTTGGGGGCCTAATGATGTCTTTTCTCCTCATAGTTATGTACGCAGAGAAAGGCTCTTCCCCAGAGTTGCCCTGCCCATGTCCATTTTGTTCCAGTACTCAAAAAATATCCTGGTACTTTGTCCAACAAGGCCAAACAACTCTCCTCTTCAGCAAATTCTCCAACAGCAATATAAAGCGTTGGCCAGTTGCCTGGAGCCAGCTCGAGATGCTTCAAAATAACTCACTTCGATTTAATCATGTGATGGACAATGACACAGGTCGTTATTGGTGCGACATGAACCATTTTTATGATCTTGTGGTTGTGACAGGTAGGTGAAGTACCATTTGAAAGATACTAAAATCCAGATAACAGCTTTAAGGGTTAAGAATCGGTATGCCTGAGATAGAGATTAGGTTAAATGTAGCAGGTCTCCAAAAATAGGAACTCCAGAGCGGTGGGGGTGTTGTTTTTAACAACCAGGGCTTGATATGCTCAAGACATTTGCAGGCTAAGATGCAGCAGAAAGTGGCAGCTTTTCTCCACTTGCCACCAGATGGATGGGTACCCCAGGCCAGCCAAGTTATCTTGGCACCAGAGGCAGAAAATCCCACTGATTGAGATTTCTGCAGCCTCTCCTGGGCAGAAAATATTTCAATATTTAGGAATTAAATAATTGGCAACTTGCTGTCCTTTCTTGCTACCTCCAAACCATTGCCTGAGGCAACTGCCTTGGTCTACCTGGAAGTAAACCAGACCCTGATTAAAGCTTAACCACTTTATTATGGCATAAACTTTTATGAAGCAAACTATAGTTTACAAAAGTTTATCTGATAATATGTTTAAGACAGGAGTAAAATTTCTGGGCATTGTAGTTTAAAAGCAATCCCAGGTTCCCACTGACTTACCTTCTTTCTTCTCAATATCTGCTTTGAGGATCATCCATTTGGCTAGGCCAGGAATGTTCTCCTGCTTTCTCCTATCTCTAACCCTGGCTTCCCCAAAGTGCCCATAGAGCCTGCCCTTGGCATCCACCAGACCCCTGACTCCCTATGCACTTTAATTTTAAACAACATTTTCAAAAAGAGATTGACAAGCTGCAAATCAAAGTGCTAATCTTCCAAATCATCTTTATTTCTAAGAATGCCCTTGGATTCCACAGGGGCCTCTCCGGACATGCTTTAAAATGGCTGGTGTCTGCATCTCACTGCTTTGTCCATGCCCAGAGAAAAAGACAAAGAGAACCTGGAGTTAATAGTGAATATCCCTGTGGGCTGAAGGAATGATAAAATGCAACATTGCCCAGTTGTCCTGTGGTAATTTGGTGTTTTGTGACTGGCACTTCCACTGTGGCAGCTGTTTTGTGAATGGGCAAGACATCCATGGCAGACATTTTCTTTGAGTTCCAACCAGACATTCTCAGAATATCAACAGTGGGACAAAAGGTTGCGGGCTTCTACTGGACCCCATCCAGTGCCAGGTCTACTCCTTCTGCAATTCTCTACTCTAATTTCTTGTTGAACTTTTCTCTCCCAGGAAGTAAGCAGATGTTGGAGCCCAACCAGGCCCATAGTGTGTGCTATGTCTTGACCTGCCTTTTCCCAGCTAATGAACTCTACAGAGATGTGATAACCTGGTGGGAAGGTAGGAAGCAAATCCTGGAAGGAGACCAAATGGGAAGATCCAGCATATTTAAGGGGAAAAGGGCCTCTCTGCTCCACGTTTGCTGGAAAAAAGAGGCTTTGAAGAAAAACAAGGAGAAGCATATCAAATGTCGCTTTTCTCTGAGGACTGAAATCATGTTCAGGTTGACGAATAATGATGATTTCTGTACTTGTAGTACTTCACAGCCTTCTTTCCAGGGTAAGTTTCTCCTCCTGAATATTTTAGAATATTTTAGCTCTTTTGGAGATCAGTCCTTCTGTTTCTAAAGTCTGGGGTATAAGTACTACAGTATTTCTTTTCTAGTCAAACAGTGCCACCTACAGTATATGAAAAAGAGAAAGTCTTGCCGCTAAGGAATCCCCATGTTTTGCAGAAACCCAACAGTCTTTGGGGAAAAAAAGATCCTCCCACAATTTTTATTTATTATGAATTAATTGTGCTTTGTCTGTTCATATATTTTGAAGTTTATTATTTCTATGGTTTTATGTTGATCATTGTTATCATTATTATTCAAAATACAAAACACAGCATATTGACAGATCACCTAAATACACTAAAAAACCCACAATTAAACAATCTTTAAACTTAAAGAAAAAAAATAATAGAAACCAAAAGCAAAGCAAACGATAAAAAACTCAAAGGAAAAAAGAAAGAAAAGAAAGAAAGCTACTTTATATATTAAACTTATCCATTATATTCTACACTACTAGAATATAATACATTTTAAGACCTGTTTTCAGAGTAGAATTTTTCCAAAGAGTTAACTATTCAAGAGTCTTGTTATCAAAACCCAATCTACTCCTCAATATGGCCCAAAATTTCTCACCGCACATACTCCTGAACATAAAACACCTTTTCTACTATACATTGTTTTATGTTGGTTGACTTTATTGATTGCCTCCAACCTAACATGGTACAGATGCTTTATTTTTCATTATCTGACTTTTAAATTCCTTTTCCTTCCAGAGAGCTATAAGCTGTAATATGACTTCTTATCCTTCCACCTGTTCCTGAGTGTTCCTCAAAGCTAAAATGGAGGTACTATTAATGATACCATCACACAGATAACAATACTACATTACCAATTGGGAGAAAAGTTCCAATTCTACTCAGCTTCTGTGGAGCCAACAGGAGACGAGGAGTGGGGTGTGTGTGAACAAGGTGGGAGAATTGCAGAGACTGACGTGGGAATCATGCCCTTCCCCTCAAATCCCTCCACTCTATACTATAATTCAAACATATAATAGGCTCAGCATGATACAGCTACTGTTGAAAAATGCAGAAGTTAAATAGAGAGCTTGCGTTCTCCCAAGCTGTAGTTGCAAAATTGTTAGTTGTTATCTGTGTGATGGTATCATTAATGGTATCTTCATTTTAGGTTTGAGGACGTGATGGAACAGATAGAAAGGAGTGCTCCTTATAAAGGATTAGAAAGCATATTTATATAGTTTATAACTTTCTGGGAGGAAGATGACAGTCCTATCCAGATCAGTTCCGGGCTTTGTCCTGAGACTAGACTTTTGGACATCAGAAGGTAAGAACCTTATTCTAATGCTTCAGAGAAATCCTGTACATTGGAAGTTAGGCAGCTACTGAATTCTGAATCAAACCATTCCATCTAGTCTAGTTCTGACTCTCTCCAAGGTTTCAGGGTTCGAGTTGATGTAATCTCACCAGAAATGTGGGATAGTGGGATCTTCAATGTGTAAACCACGAAAGGTTATACTATTTGAGTTTTTTCCTCCTCCTGTCCTCTGTTTTTGCCTTTCCCTTGATATAGGGACAGTGAAAGATGGTTTATCATCTCAATGCTCAGAAATCAAAAAAAATGGGGGACCATGGATTCCGTTGGCTGTTTGTGTTATATTGCAATTTCTAATCATACTCAGTCTGGTGATATTGTGGAGAAGGAGTTGTAGGTAAGTTGGAATCATATGAATGGGGGCTTGGGAAGACATTATGATTAAGTGATCTGTAAACAATAATGGTGGCAAAGAAAATCTTGATCTGAGATCACAGAATATTATTGCTAGAATAAATGGTCCAGATCACAGATCTCACTTAGGGTAAACATAGCTTCACAGCTCCAAATGATCTGTTTCACAAAGTCCCAGTATAACCAATTTGAACCATGAAAAGCCAGCTATGGAAAGAGTTTCTTAGCATCTGAAATATCACCATTACATTTCTCTTTAAATATATCTCCATAAAATAATGTGCATGTGCATGTGCATGTGCAGGGAAGGAAGGAAGGAAGGAAGGAAGGAAGGAAGGAAGGAAGGAAGGAAGGAAGGAAGGAAGGAAGGAAG